TAAAATAGGAACAATTTTTTGAATTAGTGACAAAAATTAAACACGCGGACAATTTTTTGAATTTGTGAACAAATATTGAAACATGAATACTTTTTGAATATGTGAACAAATTTTATGAAAACGAACAAATTTTGAATTTCCCACAGATTTTTCGAAAACATGAACATATTTGGAATTTGTGAACAGTTTTTTAAAGCACAAACAATTTTTGAATCTTGAGAACAAATTTGGAAGCACGTACAATTTTTTAAACCAACAATTTTTTTTTGAAAATCTTGAGAACAAATTTTGAAACAGAGAACAATTTTGAAAAATCCCAAACAAATTTGGAAGAGCGAACAATTTTTTAAATGACGAACATGTTTTGAATCTTGAGAACAAATTTTGAAAAAATTCCGAACAAATTTGAAAGCGCGAACAATTTTTGAATATGTGAACAAATTTTTGAAATCTGATACATTTTCTGAATTTCGAAAGTTTGAACCTTTTTGTGTAACAATAAGATTTTTTGAATTTTGAGAACATTTTTTTCAAAAAACTGAACTATTTTTGGTAACATGAACAAAATTTAAAATTTTCGATTTAAAAACACGAACACTTTTTGTATTTGCAAGCAATATTTGAAACATGGAATATGTTTTGAACAAGTTTTGAAAACGGGAACATATTTCTTAAAACTGAACATATTTTAGTTTGTGAACAAAACTTAAAAAGACAAACACTTTTGAAAAATAAGCAAACAATTTTCAAAATTCTAAACTTTTACGAAATTTCTGAACAAAAATTTCGAAACAGGAACAGTTTCTAAAAGAATGAACATAATCTGAAATTTTCACTTTTTAAAAACTGAAAAAAAGTCAAAAAATAAAATAGCAAGAAGAAAGAAAAAAGAAGAAAAACAAAGAGAAAAAAGGAAAAAGGAAATAAAAAGAAAAAATGAAAACGAAAAAAAACAAACCGGTTCAGGAACCTTCTAGAAGGTTCCCAAAACCGGAAAAAACCGGCTAGGAATGTCATAGAAGGTTCCCAAAACCGATGTAGTGGGAACTTGTACGTAAACATGAATCTTCGCAAAGCCCGTCGCTGTAGGGCCTTGAATGTGGGAGGAAGGAAAGCGGGCCAAGAATTAGCAAGTTCCCCATTTTGGGGGTCTGTTTTCCCACTCTCCCAAATCATAAGCCCAGCAAGGCCGGCCGGCGCAGCGATTCTCCCGAGTTCCAGCACCACCGCCCGCCGTCCGTCCGTCTATGGCGGCGCCGACTACCGATATCAGCAGTACCAGCGCGGCGGCGGCGGCCAGCAGCAGCAGCGATAGCTACGAGTCCAGCTTCTTCCCGTCCCGCGGCATCACCTTGTGCGTCCTCCAAGCTCAAGGTACCCACTCCTTCCTCCACTCCACTCCCCTCCCCTGCCCAAATCTAGGTTCTCGCGGAGCGAGGTGAGATTGAGCGGCTCCTTCACATTTGTGGATCCGCCCGACAGTCTTGCCTCGATTATTGCTGTGGACAAGGATAAGGAGGGAATGTGTTGTTGAACTCTGATGACAATGAGTATGAATTAAATTAATTGCTTCTTCTTGGATTCTATTACAACATCATCACACTAGTACTAAGTTACCTACAAAAGTTCCACCCTGACCAAGATGCTTCTTTTGGTCTAATTGTCAAGGCTTGGAATTATATTTATAGAAAGAATGTTGTACCAGTTACTTGGTCATTGCTTGTATTATGCGTATTGGAGCAGGTTGGTGCTTGCCCAAGTACCTCTAGGATTTAGGAGTTAACCTTTTGTGCTTACAAATGGCTATACAGAACTTCAATGCTCTTTTTGAAAATGTATTCATTTTGTACTTGCGTCTTGGCGTTTCCTCACTAAAGTTTGAGATTAAGCAAAATATGTGCTACGCTGTGGATTTCCTCACTAAAGTTATCTACTCCCTCCGTAAACTAATATATTAGTTTATAGAGGGAGCACCAGTTTGAGGACTCACGGGTAGATGGTGGCATTTGCCCTCTGATTCACAAGATTGCCTGTCGCCTTGCAGAACGAACTCGTAGGTGACGGAACTGCACACGTACAAAAACTTTCTCATGCACTGCTACTTGTAAGTTTTGTTACCAAGCGAAGTTATCTGAAGGTCTTGGTTGCTAAAATGTAATCTAGACAGTTTGACCCAGGATGAGACAGTTTATCATCTTACAGTACACCCTTCTAAATATTTTACTCTGACTTTTACTGTTTTCTGCACAGCTCCAGGTGGTTTAGGGTGTGAGCACGCTTGCAAGGGCTGATGATGAAGAATTTCAATGCTACTTGTTCTATTTATTAGTGCAAGCTCTTCGTTGAAAGTTCAGGCACAACTTTCTTGTAAAACGCAGTATGCCTTATCATTTTCGTGTGTGTTAAGAGTAAAATGTGGGTCAACGGAAGCAGTCTTTGGCATCCCTGACACACATAAAGCTGAATCGTAGTACAAGTGGTGTTCCATGTGACATGACACGGCATCTTTGCTGCATACCAAGACCAAAGTCTTTGGCCCCTACCAGACGAGCACTATTGCACATGCAGTTTCGCCTGGCATGCATTGCTGCACAACTTTTCTGTTAGTAGAGCCCTGTACATGTGAAGATTTTTTTTGTTACTATTTTAACCTGTGAGCTTTCATCTTTTTATCTACTTGAAAGGGGCCTCGTGATGAAGAATTGCAACGCTACTCTATGTTTTTAAAGCGTCCCTAAGGCGATGCCTAGGCGTCGAAGCGCTCCCCCTCCGCTTTGGAAAATCGACCGCTTTGGGCGCCTAGGCGTCGCCTAGGCGCCAAAGCGCCCCCCCCTCCCTAAGGCGGTAAGGCGTCGCCTTAAAAACATAGACGCTACTTACCCCAGTCAGTAGAAGCTCTCTGATTTGAACCATCAGACAAGTCTTGCCTGGCTCACTTTATTGTAAACCGTGGTATGCTTTATCTTTCTATATAAATTCTTCAATGAATGTTGATCATGACTCTATTTCTCACATTTGGTTATCATGATTAGCATTTTTGTTCTTTGCATGACGATACTACAGTATATATGACATGCTTGAAGATGAAATGATGAAAGTATATGCTGTCTACCTTTTTGGACACTTCCTATCGGTTCTATCATTCCCTGTAATGTAGATTTTGTTTATGTACCCGTTGTTTCTGCTCTTGACAGATTTTCAAGATTGCCTTAATATCCATCGTGCCTCAAATGGGCGAACATCCAAGATAAATTTTAAAACGGGAGATGACCTTCACCAAGATCAGCTGGTAATGATTCTAGGCTTATTTTACATGAAATCATTTTGGCTTTTGTTCTAGTCCTGATACACTGGATGTGTTGCCATCTCTAGTATTGGGTCTGAGCTAGTGATTGCAGTATGATATCCGTGGGAAGCTAGCCAGTCAGCCTGCATCTTCGGTCCTTGCTAACTTGCCACTTAATAAGCTAAATAAATTGAAACACTATGCATCAATAGGAATGCTGTAGACTCTTTTTCTTTTTGTTTTAACAGTTGCCTGCTGTTGAAAGATACTTATGGTCGTCTCAGTGGGAGCAGTGTTTGATACCCAGTCACCCACTCCACTTGTGTTGGCAGCATTAGTCTGAATGATATGATGTGATGAGACATGGTGCGTCAACTTTGTGGCAAAAGTGGTGCCAAGACCAGAGTCACATGCAGCACTTCCCTGTTAGTAGGGCCCTTCTGTACCTTTTTTCAATTATAAAGATGATGCGTATAATCTTGATTATCAGACATAATTTGATGTGTCAAAGAGATTAAAATCCTACATCTAATCCTAAATCTGTATTCAAGAGTGCCTTAAATCCATTGCACGTTACAATTAAGATGATAGATGGGGGAAGCATACAAGATGACTTTCATAAAGGGAGATGACCTCCGCCAAGATCAATCAGTAAATATTCTAGCCTTTTTACATTTACTGTAAATCATTTCTGCCTTTGTTCTAGTCTGATGATTGCAGTGAAGCCAGGCAGTCATATTTTTAGTCCGTGCCAATTTTCCACTTAAATCAGTGCCATTGTCTGCTTAAGGCCTCGGCTCAGTCGATTATGCTTTGGTTATGTTGGGAATGCAGTGGGCACTTGGTGGGGTTCATTACATCAAGAGTCTGAATGTTTAGCACCCATGCTCCACAATGATGTGATTAATAAGTGGTGCACCACTAAATTTGTGCCCCACCATCACTACCGGAATCGCACCCTATGCCGACGGCCAGGGCCGTCGGCATAGCCCTGACTAGCCGTCGGGACAGGCCTATGCCGACGGCCCCGTCGGCATAGGGCCGTCGGCAACATATCCGTCGGCGTAGGTCCATAGATGCCGACGGGTGCCGTCGGCATAGATTTGGCCGTCGGCAACCCCAGTTTTTCTGGTAGTGCATTAATAGTTAAAAAAGATGACGACCAAAGTAAAGTTGGGTTGGATGGCAATAAAAGTAAAATGATTCAATCCGATGACCCCATATCCATCAGCAACAACTGACAACATGTCTCCTCTCCCGAATCCTGTGCCCACTCATTCACAAGCTTCAAAATCTCCCAACTCCCAGTGGTCGGAGTAGAGCCTGCCTACAGCCCCGCCCTGCATGCGCGTGGCGCCGGCCGTCACAACTTCACCCGAGTCGCCTGCTTTTGCGCCTCGTCGCCGGTGTCGACCAGGCTCTGAATCTGCTGCCGTCGCTGCCACCCCCACCGCCGGCAGAGTCCTGAAGCTGGCGTTGACGTGCCTGTGAGGACCACGTCTTCCTTGCCGCTGCTGCGTTGCTGATCCTGGGGCTGATCAGGGGCAAGCTCGGGAAGGTAACTATATATGGCTGCAAGATTGTATTTTGACTTGTAATTTGTCCAAGGACAGACCCCAAGCTCTACATATATACACGATTTGCTCACATGGTTCTCTTCTTCATTAATTTCTGCAGCCCACTTGTGTTGAAGGAGTTTCTTCCGAGCGTTCCAATGGCGGAGCTGGTGGCCACCATGGCCATCCGGCCACTGGTGTCCATGCTGATGAACAAGGCGTCCAGCTCCCTCCTGGACCAGTACAAGGTCATGGAGGGAATGGAGGAGCAGCACAAGACTCTCAAGCGCAAGCTTCCGGCCATTCTCGACGTCATCACCGACGCTGAGGAGCAGGCCACAGCTCATAGAGAAGGTGCCAAAGCCTGGCTTCCGGAGCTCAAGACTGTGGCCTATGAAGCAAATGAAGTCTTTGACGAGTTCAAGTACGAAGCGCTCCGCCGTGAAGCCAGGAAGAAGGGGCACTACAGAGAGCTTGGCTTCGATGTAATAAAGCTATTCCCTACTCACAACCGTATTGTGTTCCGCTACAAAATGGGCCGCAAGCTTTGCCGGATTCTGAAGGCCATCGATGTCCTTATAGCGGAGATGCATGCCTTTAGGTTCAAGTACCGACCACAGCCGCCGGTGCCCAAGAAGTGGAGGCAGACGGATTCTGTTATCACCGACCTGCAAGACATTGCCAGCAGATCCAGAGACAAGGATAAGAAGAATATTGTTGCTACACTACTTGGTCAAGCTAACAATGCAGATTTCATAGTCGTTCCCATTGTTGGAATGGGGGGCCTTGGCAAGACCACATTAGCACAGCTCATATACAATGAACCTGAAGTTCAGAAGCATTTTCAATTGCTGCTTTGGGTTTGTGTCTCTGATACCTTTGATGTGAACTCCCTGGCCAAGAGTATAGTTGAAGCATCTCCCAATAAAAATGTTGATACAGACAAACCACCACTGGATAGACTTCAAAAACTGGTCAGCGGACAGCGGTATGTCCTTGTATTGGATGATGTTTGGGACAACAAAGAGTTACGTAAGTGGGAAATTCTGAAGGTATGTCTTCAGCATGGTGGCATGGGCAGTGCGGTGTTGACAACAACTCGTGATAAACGAGTTGCTGAAATTATGGGTGCAGATAGGGCAGCCTACAATCTCAATGCTTTGGAGGATCACTTCATAAAGAAAATTATTGAGGCTAGAGCATTCAGCCTGGACAAAGAAAAGCCTGCTGAACTAGTGGAGATAGTTGATGAGATTGTGGATAGATGTCGTGGCTCTCCATTAGCTGCAACTGCAATAGGCTCTGTACTTCGTACCAAGACCAGTGTGAAAGAATGGAAAGCTGTATCATCTGCAACCAGCATTTGCACTGAGGAAACTGGAATTTTGCCAATACTGAAGCTTAGCTACAATGACTTGCCAGCACACATGAAGCAGTGCTTTGCTTTCTGTGCCGTGTTTCCAAAGGATTACAAGATTGATGTGGAGAAGCTGATCCAACTATGGATTGCAAATGGCTTTATCCCAGAACACAAGGAAGATAGTCTTGAAACCTTTGGAAAACATATTTTCGATGAGCTGGTCTCGAGGTCATTCTTTCTGGACCTAGAGGAAAGTAAGGACTCCTGCGGGTATTTTTGCAGAACATGTAAAATTCATGATCTTATGCATGATATTGCAATGTCTGTTATGGGAAAGGAATGTGTTGTTGCAATTAAGGGACCAAGTCAAATTGAGTGGCTTTCGGATACTGCTCGGCATTTGTTCTTGTCATGTGACGAAACAGAAGGTATTTTGAATGATGCTTTGGAGAAAAAATCCCCTGCCATTCAAACACTGATATGCGACGGTCCTATTCAAAGCTCATTGCAGCATCTATCAAAATACAACAATTTGCATGCGTTGAAGCTCTGTCTGAGAACAGAATCATTTCTACTCAAACCAAAGTATCTGCATCACCTGAGGTACCTTGATCTCTCAAAAAGTTCTATGAAAGCACTTCCTGAGGATATAAGTATTCTATATAACCCGCAAGTGTTGGACCTTTCCAACTGCTATTTTCTTGAGCGACTTCCAAGGCAAATGAAGTATATGACTTCCCTCTGCCACCTCTACACTCATGGATGTCCGACGTTGAAGAGCATGCCTCCAGGACTTGAAAATCTCACTAAGCTGCAGACACTCACAGTTTTTGTAGCAGGAGTTCCTGGCCCTGATTGTAGTGATGTTGGAGAGCTGCAACATTTGAACCTTGGTGGTCATCTAGAGCTACGCCAGGTAGAGAATGTTAAAGAAGCAGAGGCAAAAGTGGTGAATCTTGGAAACAAGAAGGATCTCCGTGAACTGACATTAAGATAGACTGAGGTTGGCGACAGCAAGGTGCTCGACAAGTTCGAACCTCATGGTGGGCTGCAGGTTCTGAAAATATATTCCTATGGAGGAGAGTGCATGGGTATGTTGCAAAACATGATTGAGATCCATCTTTCTCATTGTGAAAGATTGCGATTTTTGTTCAGATGCAGTACAATCTTCACTTTTCCAAAACTGAAGGTGCTTATGCTGGAATATCTGTTGGGTTTTGAGAGATGGTGGGAAATAGATGAGAGGCAAGAAGAGCATACAACATTTCCTGTGCTTGAGAAGTTGGTTATAAGTAATTGTGGAAAGTTGGTAGCATTACCTGAAGCACCATTGTTGCAAGGACCTTGTGGTGAAGGTGGTTATACATTGGTACGCTCAGCGTTTCCTGCCCTGAAGGTGCTCAAAATGAAAAACTTGGAGAGCTTTCAAAGATGGAATGCAGTCGAAGAGACTCAAGGAGAACACATACTCTTTCCTTGTCTGGAGGAACTATCAGTTGAGAAATGCCCAAAGCTGACATCGTTACCTGAAGCACCATTGCTTCAAGAACCATGTAGCGGAGGTGGTTATAGATTGGTACGTTCAGCATTTCCTGCCCTAAAGGTGCTCAAAATGAACTGCTTGGATAGTTTTCAGAGATGGGGTGCTGCTACTGAAGGTGAACAGATATTGTTTTCTCAGCTCGAGACACTATCAGTTCAGAAATGCCCAAAGATAACAGATTTACCTGAAGCACCAAATCCCAGTGTATTAGAAATTGTAGATGGCAAGCAAGAGATGTTCCATTTTGTAGACATATACTTGTCTTCACTGACCAAACTAACAATGAATCTAGAATACACAGAAACATCATCAGAGGCTGAATGCACTTCAATTGTACCAGTGGACAGCAAGGAGAAATGGAACCAGGAATCCTCTATTACAGTTATGGAGTTAGGATGCTGCAACATGTTCTTTGGATCAGGTGCGCTAGAACCGTGGGACTATTTTGTACACCTTGAAAAGTTGGAAATTCATAGATGCGATGTGCTCGTCCATTGGCCAGAGAATGTATTCCAAAGCTTGGTATCCTTGAGGACGTTAGCGATGACAAACTGCAAAAATCTGACTGGATGTGCACAAGCTCCTCTTGAGCCATTGGCGTTCGAAAGGAGTCAACACCTGAGAGGTCTGGAGTCTCTTTGCTTAAAAAATTGCCCAAATTTAGTAGAGATGTTCAACGTCCCGGCATCTCTCAAGAAAATGATCATTATGAAGTGTCGTAGGCTTGAGTCCATATTTGGCAAGCAGCAGGGCATGCCAGACTTAGTCCAAGGGTCTTCTTGCAGTGAGGCAATCATGCTTGCAGCTGTATCAGAGTTGGCATCCTCACCCATGAATCACTTCTGTCCATGCCTAGAAGATCTAAGTTTAAGTGGATGTGGAAGCTTACAAGCGGTTCTAAATCTGCCTCCATCCTTAAAGACCATATCCATTGAAAGCTGCAGTAGCATTCAAGTGTTATCATGTCAGCTGGGTGGGCTCCAGAAACCAGAAGTCACTACCTCCAGAAGCAGAAGTCCTATCATGCCAGAGCCACCAGCAGCAACAGCACCAACTGCAAGAGAGCATTTACTTCCTCCCCATCTCGAATATCTATCAATATGGGACTGTGCTGGCATGTTGGGTGGGACTCTCCGTCTGCCTGCACCCCTCAGGAGACTGGACATTATTGGCAACAGTGGGTTGACATCGCTGGAGTGTCTGTCGGGAGAGCACCCCCCATCGCTGGAAATCCTTGATCTTGAAAGATGCAGTACCCTGGCATTCCTGCCGAATGAGCCGCAAGTATACAGTTCTCTCGGGTATCTTGAAATTAGAGGCTGCCCTGCTATAAAGAAGCTCCCTAGATGCCTGCAGCAGCAATTGGGCAGCATCGATGACGAGTACAAAAAACTAGATGCCCGTTATGAAGGTACGCACGTCTTTCTGTCTTTGACCACGTCAACACCTGTACACAAGTTTGTTAATCTGACATCATTTGTGATGTTTGCAGTAATGGCATTGAAACCAAAGACATGGAAGGAGATACCAAGACTGGTCCGCGAACAGAGGAAGGCCGCTCGACCAGCCAGGGAATGAATGCCAGCAATCCACCATGCAGTAGTAAACAAACAGGGCAGGAAAGCATGCGTTATTTTAGCTTCAAACAATGTACTTGTATGTTATGTCATGACTGGTTGAACGTTGACCTTTTTATCTTGTTCAATTTCAGATACTTGTAATGTGGATTCATCCATCTCCTTTTGAACATTTATCCGGTTTAGTAGAATTCGGGACGTGTACTGATGTTTGTGAGCTATCTATGCATGCATCAAGTAGCCAGGAGTAACGGTTATTTGGTTGAGGAGACATTGGCGTTGAGAAACTTTGCAAGCTGTGGTTTTTATCAGCTTTGATTTGATGATTTCAATGATTAGATACTGGAGTAGTTAATTACCGGGGAGATGCCAAATCATCCATTTCCCAAGAGGAGGAATGAAAGGCTCAACTCGTTGAGAAACTGTCTTGATGCTCTGCTACCTGTGATTGCTTGTAAAACTCAACTCTGGTGCATGGCGGTCTGCTCTGGATTTGGTTTTCTGCTGTGCTGCTGTATGTATGCATCTACACTCGTGAGCTATCTATGCATCTACTATCTACTCCCTCCGTTCCGAATTACTTGTCGCAAGTATGGATGTATCTTTTGTAAACTGCTGTCCGGTTTTTATCTGCTTCAATCAATACTTGAATAGGGATGGAATGATGGTTACCAAATCATCTTTGTGTAGGGGAATGATTGCTTCAACTAAACCTTCAACCTGTCTAGTTGAGAAACCAACTTTCCAGCACTCTTTGGTCTGTAGACTCTGAATTTCTGCTCTGCTAGAGTGCTTCTACAACTCTTGTCTACTGTACTGCACTGCAGTCACTCTCGGCCGAGAATTGTGATGTAAATTTCTGAACCAATCTGCTCATCTTATGCCCATTTCCATGTCACTCAGACGTATGCACAGCAGCAGCACTAAGTAATAATTTTTTTTTTGCGGGTGTAAGTAATAATTTTGTTGATCCAGCAAAAAAACACGATGCGACTGAAGCTAGCTAAATCATGATCTTTGCAAGCTAGCGCTGCTGTCTACTGAGCCGCTCCCATGGCACCACCGCTCCTCGCCATGCGGACGCACACCTCGAACCTCTTGACCGCCTCGGCTGCGGAGGAGCATTCAAGCTAATTATCCAGATCGCGTGTGTTGGGGCAGTCGCATGGTGAAGAAGGAACACATGGGAGGAGGGGTGTTTTTTTCTTTTTTTTTGTGGGCTCTTTTTTTTATCATACGGGGTATCGTCCAGGTGGAAACCGTGCATTTTCGTGGATCAGAGGTGATGGTGAGAGCTGAGGCGAGAAAAATCAGTTAGAGAAGATGGTGAGAGGTGAGGCGAAAATAAACCATGGATGCCGGCCCCCATTTTAGAAATGAAGATTCAAATACTACTACATTTTAGGGGTACTATTACTTTACCGAGAGGTCCAATTCATCACCTTCAGTGCCAGGAAACTCTCTTTGTGCATACTACCAATCGTATCGGGCCTCGTCCCAATGACCGTACCTCGTAAGTCGTTCGCTACAGTCTTTTCTTGTTGAACTTTTCTCCACCCTGTTCACTTATAGTACTTAAAATATAGAAAAATCAAATAGTTTATGAATTAGAAAAAAATCAAGGATTTTTAAAAAGTTGGAAGGGTAGATCGGTGAATTATTAGAAACATTTCATGAGTTTGAAAAAAGTTTACAAATTTTGAAAAACTCACAAGTTTGAAAAAAGTTTACAAATTTTTAAAATGTTCATGAGTTTGAAAAAAAACCATGAAATTCAAGACATAATTCATGAATTTAAATAAAGTTCATGACTTGGAAAAGTCTGTAATTTGATTTTTTTTTAAATCCACTAATTTGAAAAAATAGGTTCACAAGCATTTAAATAAAAGTTTGTAATTTGAACAAATTCACAAAATTTGGAAAAAGTTCACGAATTTTAGAAAAGTCTAGGGTATGAAAAAAATTCAAAGCAATTTGGAAAAAGAATAAGAACTTTGAAAAATGTTCACGGATTTGTGACAATTTCATGAATTTGATAAAAACGAAAAATGAAGGAAAAAGGAAAAATAATCTAAAACAAAAAAGAATATGAACAAAAAAGAGAAAACCAGCAAAACCCATGTTGGGGGAAAACTAGAAGGGAAAACGCCCAGACAAATCGTCAGTGCAATCGTTGGAAAGGTTTCCAAAAATCCTTTTAAAAAGATGTACATGGGATGGCTCATTTACATACATAGTGCAGTGGAGGAGTTTGCACCAGTCAGCGAATTGCCACTTTAACCGGCGGTAAAGGCATGGATGGGAACTAGGTACTTCACTAGCTATTGTATGTCATCGCCGCTTGAAGAGAGTACTCCGGATATTACACCGCGAGCTGTTGTGTATAACCAACTTAAGCCTGTTTCCCGGTTCTATACCTTTTTTTTGGCTTTTTCAAAAGAATTTACAATTTTTTAAATATGTGAGTATTTTTCAAATTCATGAATATGTTAAAAATCATACTAACAAATTGGTGAATATTTTTTAAATCCATGAACATGTTTTGAACCATGTAGGAACATACTTAATACACCATAAACTTTTTAATACACAGTAATAAATTTTTTCATACAAGGTGAACATTTGTTAATACACTATAACCTTTCAATAAACTATAATTTTTCAATACAATACAATTTTAAATAAATGATGAACTTTTTTGGTAACAAGGTAAAGATTTTTTAATACAAAATTCAAAATTTTTAAAGCATGAAAAGTCATGAACATTTTTCAATACTCGATGAACATTCTTTTAAAATACGTGATGAACATTTTAATAAACCGTAAACTTTTTTATATAGGACGCAAGCATTTTTTTAAATGCATTGAGCATTTTTTAATACATGATGAACCATTTGTAATACACCATTCACATTTTTAGTACATGGCAAACCATTTTTAAAACACGTTAAGCATGTTTTAATAGAAAAGAAAAGAGAAAAGGAGACAAACAAAGACGAAAAATAAAAACTGGAAGAAAAAACAAAAATGAAGCAGAAAATGAAAGGTAGAGAAAAAATAAAACAGAAAAGGTAAAAGAAGAGAAAAACATAAAAAAAGCAATTAAAAAATAATACCAGGAAAATAAATGTTCAAAAACTTATTAAACCTGGTTCCCGAAAAACAAAACAGAAAGAAACCGCTGCAACCTTTCCTGTAACTGGGCAGGCCCACTTGAAGAGCGCTGTAGGAGCGGTATAGCACTGGCGCACTCACGGATCTAAAATTGCAAACCTCGTTACTTTGTTTTTTTGCTAGAATCAAATCTCGTTGCGTTAATGGTTAGAGTGGCATGGATGGCGTTTTGGGGCCCTAAAATTGTTTGCCTCGTCATCGGACGGCGACACTTAGTAGATGCTCGCTCGATGATATTACTCCGCTAACATCTCGTTGTCGCGTCCAATAATTATAGGATTACATGCAGTCATGCACCAGCTAATTCACCCAAATGTCCAAAACTAGAGAGGGTGATAGACAGTACTGCAACAATAATATGGGATTTCTGGTTTTCGTTAGCTGCGTAACAAACCTAGAAGGAGAAAGTGCCGGTTAGAAAAATACAGAAATGTTTGGCCATTCGCTTGGAGGCCCACATGTGAGTGGAGAAATCCCATGACCCCATCCGTCCAGCCAGCATCCTCTTTTATTATTAAATGTTCGCTCGACGATACTAATCCCCTAACGTCGCGTGCAATCCAATCTAGAAATATCGAAATGTCTATTGTCACTAAAATAAAAGGTTCAGTTGGGGGCCCACACGTGAGTGAGTGGACTCATATCCATGGATCCTCTTTTCCCCGCATCACGTCTCTTCTTGTTCCCCACAGCAATCGTCTTTTTTCTCAACTAAAAAAAAGAAGCAATCGTCTTTTCCACTGCTAAAAAAAAAGCAATCGTCTTTTCCAAAAGAAAGAATCGAATTCATTCCCCACACCCACAGTGACAGCACGTCTCCTGAATGCTCTATAGAATCATATTCCCACCCATTCATAAGCTTTGCTGCTTCCAGATCTCCCGAATTTCTCACAACTCCCACGCATCCGCGCTGCCACGACTTCCCTGGAGCTACCGCCGTCTTCGCCGAAGCCGTCCAGACTCTGGGGCTGCTGCTGCCTCCGTCGTCCCCTGCACCGGTCAGGCTCTGGGGCTTCTGTTGCCGCCGCTACAGCGCCGGAGCCCCTCGGCATCCACGTGCCGGTGAGGACGAGCCGTGAAGGTGCCCTGTTCTGAGGTTGTTCCAACGAATCAGGTAACTATGGTTGCAAGATTGGATTTTTATTCTTGTGATTATTCATTGAAGAACAGATCCAATACACATGCCTTGCTCACACCATTCTCTTCTTCATCGATTTCTGTAGTGCACTTGTCTTGGTGGAGTTCTTTCCGAGCGTTGTAATGGCGGAGTTGGTGGTCACCATGGCGATCGAGCCATTGGTGTCCAAGCTGTTGGACAAGGCGTCCAGCTAGCTCCTGGACCAGTACAATGTGATGGAGGGAATGGAGGAGCAGCAGAAGACTCTCAAACGCAAGCTTTCGGCCATCCTTGACATCATCGCCAACGCCGAGGAGCAGGCCACATCACATAGAAAAGGTGTTAAATCCTGGCTCCAGGAGCTCAAGACAGTGGCCTTTGAGGCGAATGAAGTGTTCGATGAATTCAAGTACGAAGCACTCCGCCGTGAAGCAAAGAAAAAGGGCCACTACAAAGAGCTTGGCCTCGATGTGATAAAACTCTTCCCTGCTCACAACCGTGTTGCATTCCGTTACAAAATGGGTCGCAAGCTTTGCCTGATTCTGCAAGCCATTGAGGTCCTCATAGCAGAGATGCAGGTCTTTGTGTTCAAGTATCAACCGCAGCCGCCGGTGTCCAAGGAGTGTGACACGTCTC